ATATATATATTCACCTCTGTAACCGGAGCTGGACTCGGCTTTCCTTTTCCCATCCATAAAATAATAGTAATAATAGTGATAGCCCCTACCTCCAAGGGTTGTGTTGAGGCATACATGAGCAAATGAGTGTAATGTATTCAGAACAGTGCCCACCTGCATTCATAGTGAACACCCTATAGATGTCCTTGTCCTCACTGCTGTCGTCATTTCTCCTACAGGTGGACCTTCAGGGGATAAAGGCAAAGTTCCAAGAGAAGTATCAGAAGTCTCTGTCTGACATGGTTTGCTCAGACACGTCTGGGGACTTCCAGAAACTGCTGGTGGCCCTCTTGCACTGAAGCAAGCCAGAGCAGTGGAAGGACAGGGAGGAGCCACCTTTGTCAAGAGCCCATTTCAAACCAGATTTGCAAATGTGACTCCAGCACAAAAAGTACTGAAGAGTTCTGGCTTATTGTCTTGCCAGCTTGAATACTGTAGCCAGGCCAAGCTGTTTAGGTGAAGGGCAGCAGCCTCAAGACACTTGTGCAGGTCACCCTGAATGCTGGCTTAGCAAGTATCTGAGCTGCCTTTCAGCTTTCCTTTAGCGTGGCAACCTGAATGCTTTCTGAGCACAAATGAAATTCGCAGTTGATGAAAACACTATACTTGTAATAAAACATTCAGAAGAGTATGTATCAAATAGAGGCGGGTAAAGACTGAATGGTTAAGGTACAGGGAAGACAAAATTAACCAATTCATCAGTGTTCCTTCTGTGCGTTCAATCTCAAATGCTCAATGTTAATTAAAGTGGATTATGCCCCCATCAGCTGCTTTTCCAAAGACTGGGTTGATTCGTTTTGGCTCTTGTCCTGGAAGTATATGACTTGTGAAATTCAAACATATGTGGGAAAGGCATATAACAACTTTAATTAATAACCACCAAAGATAACAATCAAGGCTAGCAGTAAGGAAACAATTGAGGTGCCCGTGTGGAATGTAACTAGGGGTAAGATTCATGGCTACCTTGTATAAATGGTTCTTCTTATTTCTCTAGACATTTGACCCACTTGAGCCTTACCTCTGATCTTCAAATACAATTAGGCTGGGCATGGTGCCAACAGGATCAAGGTCAATGGTCTGACTCTCAAATGGATTGGTTCCACACCAATAGAATCTCTGTTCAAGATGTTTGTCTCACAGCCATGAGTTACTAGACGTAGAGGGGTCTGTCAAGAGAACATGGACACTTTGATCCAATAATTACAGTTATCATTCATTGGGCGATTATTTGTGTCTGGCACTGCTCAGTAGCACACTTTCATGTCTAATCCTCTCAACAGCCCTATAAGGTTACTATTACTCCCATGTATCAGTTGAAGAAACTGGAGAGTTCATTCCCAGGCCAGTAATGTAGACCGATGCCTCTGTATTCAACAGAATGCTGTAAGTAAGTTAATATAGGCAGGTAAAGCTCTCTTCCCATTAGCAAAAAGACGGTACACACAGGTCTGCCTGAAGGAATTGGGGAATAATTCACAGAGATGTATTAATGCTGGATGTTGAAGAATGTGGAAGAATGTTCTCCAGAGAAACAAAATAAGAAGGGTAAAAGCAGAGGCTCAGAAGCATGAGGGAGCAGGATATGTTCAGGAAGTGGTGAAATCCATTCTCCTGGGCATAGATGCGGTGAAAGGAGGGAGAAGGTTGGGGAGGCAGGCCACGAAGCTGCTGAAAAGTTTGTTTGGATCACATTAGCAATGGTTTTGCCTGCCAAGCGTGGGCCCGGTCCTTTGGGCAATGGGGGGTCACTGGAGATGTTTAAGGAGTGAGAAACATGATCAGTTTGGGGCCTTAGCCATTGACTGGTGCAATCAACATATAGCAAATAGCCCAAACTCTCAGTATAAAAGTATATATCATGGTGTGCCTTTCTAGTGGCTATAAAATGGGGACTGACACATTAAGAAGTTATGATAACATCTGTGTCCTCCACATGCTGCTTTATCAGTCTAGCAGTCATTGTTGTCATTATGAGCTTTAACACATAAAAAGGTTTTCTAGAGCCAAGCTCAGTGATAGAACATACTCATGTTTACTTATTTGTTGCCAAAGCTGCTTTTAAAAACAGAAACAAGACAACCAGTTCTTGGGTACTGAACTCACAGTAAGGATAGAAAAACAAACCAACAGAGTGAAAGGAGATCTATTAAAAACAGCCACTGTTGGAGATTGTTGAAGGCCATCACTCACACACAGAGGAGAGGAAGGTATTTCACAGGCGAAGAAACAGGCTGAGCAAGGCTGAGGGGAAATGTCATTTACTTGCTTAAGTTCTCGCACAGGAAATGCCGGAATTCAAACCTGCGTTCTTCTGACTCTAATGCCTGAGCCTTTTGCCACACTAGCTCAGATCCACAAGTGCTCTCTCCAAAATTTTGCTGAGCAAGGCACTGGGTACCTCTTTCTGTAGCTGCTGAAAGCTGCTCACTGTTCACAGCAGAAGACCATTTCTGTGTGCTTGGCTGGGGGCTGCCTCAGGAGAAGTCTGAGCTGGTCTGTCCCAGGAATGCCCCACCCCACGGCAGACCAGGAATTTCCTGCTTCTCCTCTCCACACACCCTTGCCCTGCGCAAGTCCCACCTCACCGTTACCCAAGACCCCTGTTCCCAGAGCTGTCAAAAGGCAGGGCTTGCCTGTGGAGGGGGTTCAGGGGAGAAAGAAAGGACAAAGTTAGAAGAGAGAGAGGGTGAGAGCAACATTACCTTGTCACCCTCCCACTGAGTGACACTGTCCCCCACGCCTCACCCTTCTCCTGAGCCACAGCTCCTCCCCAGATATTTGGATAGATGGGGAGGAGTCTGAACACCACCTGTGGAGCTGCATCAGAAGGGAGCAGGTCCCATGGGTTCATGTGGTAACCTGCCATACTTTTCCCCATGAAATTCTGTTATAGTCCCCATTGGGCTCCATAACACTGCTCACCCAGCCTGAGTCACCCGGACATGGTAACATAGACCTTGGGGGCGCTTGCTTGAGTGAACCACTGCAGAAGCTAATGTTCCTTTGAGGAGCAAAGGAAGTCCCCGACCAACCAACATGGGAGATCCAGCCTCCCAGTTCCTCTCAGGATCTCTGGGAGTCCCAAGTGGTTCTCGTCCTGTAGGCCCACCCCTAACATTTGTGGGTCCCAGCCCATCTCTCTGCTTTTCCCTTTTCTGGGGGAGTGGGAGCTGATTTATAGCATTTGCTTATTTCTGTGGCCACCACGGTCAATTTCAAGCTATTGACATGATGTCACTGAACAGAGTCAGGAGATGAGCGGTAGCACACCAGTATGTACTATCTCCGCCATACAGATACGATAGATGTAAATAACTTCAAGAGCATAGATGATAGTAAAATATAGCAAATAATTAGGAAGTAATAAATTTTGGGTTTTCACTACATTTGTATCAATATAATTTAATTGTAAGTTTGTATACTTTAATTTTTAATAATCACTAGGCTTAATAACTAACTCATAAAACTCCTGAAAAGTTAATAATTAAACCTCATGAACCAATAAGAGCCAAGTCCAGCACTCCACTTGGCATGGGTCTTAACCCCTTTCTTCCAGAGGACTCCCAAGACAATTTGAACCCTGATTCCAGGTACTCACATAAGAAGTGGTTATCCTGAACACTCTTCCCTGCAATGGATTATTACCTACCATACGTTCAGGGTCATAATGAATAGTTGTTTATGTTGTCTACTGCACAAGGCTGACTGGCTGAGGAGACGTTTGGGACCTGAAATCCAGTCCTAATTTCCCCATCAGATTTTGCCTGCAGGGCTGAAACTAGAGAGGTAGCTAGCTTCTGCCTAGAGAGGGTACTTCCTGCTAATTTGCACAGAGCTACCATATGGAGTGGTCCTGGAACGGTAAGTAACCCCTTTTACCTAAGAGGGGACATTCAAGAGGTCTTCCCTAGACAGAATGCCTTGTTATCAGCTTCTAATTCTAAACACTTTAAGTTCTGGCCCTCTTGGTACCTTATACAGCCATATAATCAATTCCTCGCAAATCTATTCTTTTTTTTAAATATTTTTAAACATTTTTTTAATGTTTATTTTTGAGAGAGAGGGAGACAGAGTGTGAGCAGGCGAGGGGCAGAGAGAGAGGGAGACACAGAATCGAAGCAGGCTCCAGGCTCTGAGCTGTCAGCACAGAGCCCGACGCGGGGCTCGAACCCACAAACTGTGAGATCACGACCTGAGTCGGACACCCAACCGAGTCACCCAGGCGCCCCGTCGCAAATCTATTCTTAGGAGAATACTTGAAAGCAAAGATTAAGAGGAAAAAGGAGATGGGAATAATGCTCCAGAAGATGAAACAGAGGTTTTATCACATTCAAGGAGATAGATGGTGAAGAAGCACAAGGAAGCAGAAGAGGGCTACCCAGGCTGCCTTCAGGAAGATGTCAGCGTCATCAGAATTAGATGTGACAGCCCCGGAAGATTCTGCCATCCTCACGTGGAGGGCAATGTGTCCCTGACCTAGGAATGCAGTCTGTCTCCTCCAGCAGCAAGAGACAATGCACAAGTCTCCACTAAGCTGCAAACAAACTATTTCTCAGACATATTATAGCCAATAAAAATGCCTCAGATAAGCCCCGAGAAACTAGATAAGCCAAGAAACAAGGGTGCTGGAAAACCAGAACTCTTCATGCCAACAAGCAAGAGCTACCACATTGAATTCAGAGATATGTGAAGGCTGCCTGTTAGTGTCACTGCAATTTATTGCATGACCAAGGCACAGGATGCAGACTAATATGTTGGGAAACATAGGGTCAGGAGAAAGAAAAGAAGTGGCAACAGGGGTTGGGGCGATTTCTCAAAATAAACTTTTTATTTTATTTTTATTTCTGTACATTTTAGACTTACAGAAAAAGGTGTGAGTATATTACAGAGTTCCCATATACCCCACTCCCAGTGTCTCATAGTGCTAACATTAATATGGAACATTTGTCATGACTGATGAACTAACATGGATACATTATAATTGAATGAAGCTTTATTCACATTTCTGTAGTTTTTACCTAATGTCATTTTTCTGTACTAGATTGCCATGAGACTATCACATTGCATTTAGTCTTCATGCCCCTTAAGCTCCTCTAGACTGCGACAGTTCCCCAGACTTCCCTTGTTTTTGTTGAGCTTGACAGTTTAGGGGGAGTACTGGGCAGGCAGAATGTTCCTCAGTTTCGGTTTGTCTGGGTTTTTTTTCTCATGAATAGACTGGGAATTTGGGGAGGAAGATCACAGAGGGAAAGTGCCATTCCTACCACATCATATCAAAGGTACATGCTATCAACGTGAC